ACTGGGGGAGAACGTGCTGCTGACAGGCTTGGGTGATGGGCGTCAGTTGTTGCGAATTTATGTAAGGCCTGATGAGCTCCCACGTTCATTCTTGGCGTGTGCAGGAAGCAGGTATAGGAATGGCACAGATGTATCAGGAGTTCAACTTTTATAAGAGTATTTTAAAGGGCAATTGGCTGTAGTAGGCTTGACATTATGTTGCTGTAATAATGAATAATTCTGTAGCTAACATCTGTGTCAAACTGCTTTCTTCTTATTACTAAAAATGTTAGCTGTTGGATAATACTGTATCTGCTAATAAAATATCAGTACAACTAAATTAATTTCCTCTGGATTAGGGCCTGAAGTTGATGAAGAAGCCACTCAAGAAGACTTGGAATACAAATTGAAGGGATTTATTGATCTTACATTGGACAAGAGGTATAGTATGCCTTTAAGAAGCACATTCATACATTATTTTCTAGCTTCCTCTGATGTAATAAGGGAAATATGCATTATACCTTTTAATATGATTACTGAAATTGTTTCATGCTGGGGAGGACTTGCTTTTCTTCTGGATCTGAAAAGACCTTTCTGCCTCTACCAAGTTTTTGGATAAGTAAGAGTCAGTGTGTCCTTTCCTAGTATCTTGAAGTAGAGTGACTTTGTTTCTAGCCCAGGGTACATCTGTGAACTGTCTCAAGCCTAAGTTTCTCTGACCTTGAGGAAGGAGGCAATCCATGGCATTTAATGCTTCATGGTATTGCTGTGGCTTACTCTTCTATTGGGCACATATAAACTACTATAAAAACAAAGGCTGAGCTTTAACTCATCCGTGCTGATTTCAGCAGGTTTTCCTTCTCTCTTTTAACAGTGCAAAGACAAGACAAGCAGCTCTTGAAAGTCTGAAAAGTGCTTTTTCTTCTAAAATACTCTATGAATTTGTCATGGAAAGGAGAATGACGTTAACTGATAGCATTGAACGCTGCATAAAGAAAGGTAATTAACACGCTTGCTGTTAGAAGGCAATAATCCCCATGAAATAGTGTGTTGTTTAGCGGGAATTAAGTCTGTGGGGCTTCTCTAAAACTTTATCAAGTGCTTAATTTAGTTATGTTAAAAACATTTATTTTTTTTAATTTAGATGCTGTATTTCAATTGACCAGAAAATGAGCTGAAATTGTCATCTCTATTGATTTCTGAATTTTTCACTTGCAAGTTTTCAGACTAATTATCCGTAAAGGAAAGAAGCAGTGCGTGAGGCAATTGCTCATTGTAGCGCATTGATCTCTAGGTAAGAGCGACGAACAGTGTGCAGCTGCCGGGCTGGCGTCTCTTCTGTGTGTGCAGATGGGCTCAGGAATTGAAAGTGAAGAGATTTTTAAGACCCTTGGTCCAGTTCTGAAGAAGATTGTCTGTGATGGAACAGCCAGTGTCCAAGCCAGACAGGCTGTAAGTATAAAATGTTTATTTGCCAGGCAGGGACAGAGGGCAGTTTTTAACCAGCTCACTATTGTGTAATCCAGAACTAAAGGTTACTACCTTGGAGTAAACTCAGAATGCTGACGCATGCTCTGAATGATGCGTAGCAGTTTTCACTGGCTTCAAGTTCCACCTAAAGGTTGAACGTCATTCTCTTCTTCAACCTAGGAACTTCCTCCAAGCCCTCTTACAGCTAGTCCTTTAAGTGTCTTTACTTGCTGTGCTGTAGCCTCCTTACTGCAATCCTAAGGGCTGAGGTTGAAGTCCTATAGAAAAAAAAACGGTTTTCCCACTGACTGGTGTATCCTTCCTGTATCCACTTTAACTTTTTGAACAGCAGAGGAACGTTAGTTATGCAAATATATTTATATATGATAAGATTATATGTAGCAGATACAGAACTACATAGTTGATACCTTCATACTACCAAAAGTACTTTTAAGTGTTTCACTTAATCATTTATACATTAGCAGTGGACCTGAAGTATTGACAGAAGACAGTCTAAAGTTTAACAGTGACACTTTTTTTTTCTGTCTAGTGTGCAACCTGCTTAGGGATTTGCTGTTTCATTGTCACTGACGACATTACGGTGAGGATAAATAATTACCTGCTCCCCTCCCCCCCATTAGTATTAGAAAATGTGTGAATCTTATGTGACTTCTGTGATCTTTTTCCGTTCTGTTCAGGAGCTGTACTCTACAATGGAGTGCCTGGAAAATATCTTCACAAAGGCCTATCAGCGAGATAGGGACACTAATGGTGTGTCGAGTACCCATAATACTGTGCTTCACATCAGTGCTCTCTTAGCATGGACACTGTTGTTGACCATTTGTCCAATGAATGAAGTGAAGAAGAAAATTGAAATGTGAGTCTCTTTCTTGGAGAGCAAATCTGTAATGACTTTTTATATGCTGTGAAGCAGTGTCAACAAAATTTACATTTCTTAATGAAATGTGACTTACTCCTTAGGCACTTGCATAAACTTCCAAGTCTGCTGTCTTGTGATGATCTCAACATGAGGATAGCTGCTGGAGAAACACTAGCCCTTCTGTTTGAACTGGCACGTGAAACAGACGCTGTAAGTAGATGTTAGCAACTGAATTTTCTTGCACTGGGGTGATAAGGCAAATTATTTAACCTGTGTTGAATAGTGCCCTGGATCACAGGAAGTGGCAGATAAGTCACTGGGTTATGTTCTTTGTAGTGAGTCTGCCCCAATCTGAGTGGGTATAACAACGATTCACAGCAGTTTAGCTATCCTATTTACACTAATTTCCATATTGCAAAACAGGACTGACATAACAAAACATATCAAACAGTACTGAAGAGCAGCTAGAAATGTAGTGTGCAGGCTTTAAAATCTAAATCCAACACCAGCTTAAAAAAAGTCCAGGATAAACCAGTATTGTTTACTGGAGTGGGAACACTCATTAGATACCTAGGCAGACAAGTTTCAGTGACTCATAACCTGCACAATTATACATAGGGCTAAAAATCTGCCCTTCAGCAGAAACCATGTTGCCTTTCAGTATTGTTCTTTCAGTAACCTTATTTAGGTACCTTGAGAAGAATAACTAGCATTGCTTGATGGTTTCACAGAACCTGTGACTCTTTTAGTTGGGGATTAGTTAATTTAAGGGGGCAGATTTTTGAAAGGGTTTGTACAAATTTTGCACAGATAGTAGCAGTGCTATACTTGGTGAGATTTCTTGGTGTTTGCTGTTGAGTTGGATTAGGTGCAAGCTTCTCGGTCTTCATATGCAGCTAAGCATGCCTTTACATTCTTCAATGTGCCTTATTAATTTCTGAACTGTTTTCTTGACAGCACTGAAGGAAACAGTCTCTGCTTACCTGTGGCACAGTTTGGGAGAGCTGCCTGGATGGCTCCTAGCTTGAGCAAGGCTGCTGTGCTTTGCCAGGACACTGTCCACAGTGAAAGGATCACTCTAATTGAGTCAGGATAACATGACATACTAACACTGCATAATATGAAACAGTATGCTGAGACTTCTGTATAATTGCAGACAGCAGGGGTCTAAGTCTCTTGGCTATGGAAGCCAAATTTGAGGGGGGAAGAAGAGCAAAACTTGAGCCTTTCTTTGGTCTACCTGACTGCAAGTAACTAAACTTTCAAAATGTGTAAATGAGTGAGACTGTATTGACTAAAAACTTTTGTTCCATTGAGAAAATGTCCCTTTAATCATTACAAAGGATTGTTAATAATCAGCACAGATTGAAAATGCTTATTGTTTTGTCTTTGACCAGTTTCTTTCCAAAAGCATGCTGTAAATTTGGCCTAATCAGTTGATGTGACAAAGCATTCAGATTTAAAAACAAATGAAAAACAAACTTATTTTTGAATAAGTTCACATACATTCCTACTAATCCAGGTAAACTACTGCTGAGTCAGTGAATGGAGGGAAGAAAATATTTCCTGCTAAAAATTATGGATTGAAGTTTACTTGGAGTATTTTTTAAGCATATTTTTAAAATGGCTTTCTAATTTTCCACACCATATGAGACTTGAAGAAATATTCTGTACTCTCAGTCTAATAGTAATTCATGATCAATCTCCAGCAGCCTGAATTGTATGCTAAAAATCTGAAAGAGCCCTCAGCCTGTCAACAGGAGTGTTTTAGCAGATCAGTTAGGCAGTTTGAGACCCTTGGGGTTGCAGAGCTGAACAGATTGGCAGGTAGATACATGCTCTGAAGGAGCTGTACTGTTTCATGTGGCTCTGACTACCAGAATAGAGCTTGATAGTGTCCTGCTTGGGTAAACTGGATGTTGTGACTTGGTTCATACTGACTGAAATGCTGCAAATGGAATTACAGAAAGTTAGTGCTGTCTGCGTCTCTTTCAGTAACAAAGTAACAGGTTGTAGAAGTCTACAAGCCCAGAATTTGGAGAGATCCATTTTCCTCTTTGCAGGGAAAGATGTTCTGAGACTAAAAAAAAAAAAAATTTAGAAACTCCCAAAATTTAAAATCCCCTTTTTTTCCACTAGGATTTCTTTTATGAAGATATGGAACTTCTGACAGAGAAGCTGAGAGCTCTGGCTACTGACGGAAACAAGCACCGAGCCAAAGTAGATAAAAGAAAGCAGAGGTCTGTCTTCAGAGATGTTCTGCGAGCTGTTGAGGTGATTCTTCTGTCTTTGTGTCTGGGTTGTGACTATGTAGTGGCCAATTTAATTAAAAAGTTTTTATTATTGAGTAGGATTTATGTTTCAGTGACAGCAGCAGGAAATACTATTTTCAACTAGGTTTCAAGTTCTGATTGGACTATGTAGTGGCCAATTTAATTAAAATGTTTTTAATTATTGAGTAGGATTTCTGTTTCAGTGACAGCAGCAGGAAATATTATTTTCAACTAGATTTCAAGTTCTGATTTCTTACGCAAAATATAACAGCTTTTTTTAGGAAAGTACTGCAGAGAATGTCAAACTCTGCTTATTTTCCTCCAAACTTTACTTCCATGTTGAAGAGTGTGGGTTTTTTTCCTTTGAAGGCTAAATTTTGCACTTTATATACTTTATTTCCTACCAAAGCAGGTTTTTTTTTCATGGAAAGCTTTGTAGGATATCCAAATTAGCATCCTGAATTTGGTGAAAATGTTTATAATAAAATTTCTTCTTGAACTGCTGTGCACAATAAACAAGAAGCAACTTAATAGTAAGCTACATTTCCAAACGGCATCTTTGTCAGGGGCCAAAGAAGTGTTTGTGTGTCAAGGTTGTCCTCATCCTGTGATCTGGTTTTCCATATCCAGCTTAAGGGAGCAGTACACTAAGTAGGACTCTAAAAATACTTGGTTAGTGACATAACTTCTGAGTAAAGCCTCTTAAATGTCCAACTTGTATAATTTTGATGGATTTTTTTGTTACCTTACACCTCTTGAACTAGATTTATTTTACTCATCAGGTAATTGGATAAGACCAGCTAAATATTAGTTGAGATTCAGAACAGTTAAACATCTCAGAAGCTAAGGAGGCAGCCTTGGAGTGATTTGAAGTCACTTTTGAGATCCTGCCTTAAGAAGAGTCTGAGTCACTTATTAATACTTGTTATATTCCATTGTCACAAATGTAGCTTGCCACACTTGAAAGGTGGGGACTAAATGAGGCTTACAAACTGACTTAAAGGTGACTCTTGCACTCAGAACTGGTTTTTCCGGAGGTGAATTGAATTCTTAAAGTAATTTTAAAGATGAAAATTCGGTGTTCCTATTTTTTTAAATGCTTTCTGGGTTGAAGAATGTCAGCTTCAGGTCTTACCTGAAATTGACTTTAGGTGTGAATCAGTTTATGAACAAATACAGTCTCTAGTATATGTGTATTGCATTATTTGGAAGGTTTTGGTGTGCCCAACATATTATTGAAAACAAAGTTCATTAAGATAGATACAATTCTGAATACAAAAGTGTTTAAAGTTATATATGTTGTTTAATTTTGGACAGGAGCGTGACTTTCCTACAGAGATGGTTAAGTTTGGACCTGAGCGCATGTATATTGACTGCTGGGTTAAAAAGCAGACTTATGATACCTTCAAGGAGATTTTGGGGTCGGGGATGCAGTATCATTTGCAGGTGAGCTGCTGTTTGATATATGCTCAGACTGTTGTTCTCTGTCTGGATTCTTTGTAGTAATTCAGTCTACATTGCAAAATCATGAGCAGAACATGGTGAAATGCCAAGGTCTGCATTAGGAGTGTTAGAAGGCAGCATGAAAAGTTAGCTAGTGGGATAGGACTGTCTGTGTGAGCTGCTTCTGAGTTGCAGCCTGGGTGTACCGGGTTAGCAACGAGAAGACTTCTCCAAGAAGAGGTTCAAGCCAAGTATATTCTTAGTTTCAGGGTTTTCCCAAATCCTTGTGCTCCCGTTCAGCAGTGGTGGGGTCATCTGGCTGCTGTAAAGCTGCATGCCTCTACACTTCCTGTTCAAGCCTGCAAACTCCTAGAAAGGATTTCAGAGTTTTAGTCAAAAATAGTGAATATAACTTGCATTCTAATGACAGCATTACCGGAAGGGAAGGGATAAGTCCTTGTTTGTATTCTAGGAACTGCTTGTTGATTAGTCATCTGTTTAGATATGTAGCAGAGGCAGGAACTCTAGCTTAGGAGTATATGCTGTCAAACTGCTCCGTTAAAATCTTCAGTCCAGTGTCAATTGCATTTCTACCTGAGGGAGTCTAGGTGTGTAGCAGCTTTTCCAAATACTTTTACGGCCAGATATTTTTAAATTGTTGTTGTGAACCCATATGGATCTGCGTTTAGCTGCCTGCTCTTTTGTAGAGGATGTAACAGAACAGTGTCTAATTTGCTGGGACAAAATCAAGGTGAGGAACAATCTTCTTAAGAGCGCAGTTTTAGTTCTTAGCCTTATTCTGATTAAAGGAACTGTTCCCTAGTATAATTGCAAAAGATACTAGGATTTGTGTCAAATTCTTGCTATTTCTTATGGGAATACTTGATATTTAACAGTAGTTGGCTTTGGAGACTTGATAGTCAGAGGAGAAACTGATCATTTGTGTTTCTTGTGTAGTCAAATGACTTTCTTCGGAATGTGTTTGAGCTTGGCCCACCAGTAATGCTAGATGCTGCAACTCTTAAAACGATGAAGATATCCCGTTTTGAAAGGGTAGGTTATTGCACCTTAGTGTATTTTCTTTACTTCATATGTTAATACATTTCTCATGAAATAATTTGTGTTCCACACAACACTTTAGAACCTGTCATCTTTGAACTTGTTGTTGCTTTAGCTCTAATGGTGCCCTGTGTTGACCAGAATGAAACCAGACTTTGGTTGTATATGTCTTTGAGCTCTTATTTTTGATTTTCCACTGGGAATGTCTGCTCCTGCTTTTCTCTCAAGGCAGGTCTGAAGGTTGAGTTGGATTCATGCTCTACATGTGTGAGACTTGGGCTCTTATAAGACTGAACAGCTCCCAGAATTCCTTCTGGGCTCAGCCTTTCTTACATAGTCCAGGTTTCCTTTAAGAGTCTGTGTGTGTGTATAGAAATACATAAAAAAATCAGCCTCTGGTGCAACGATTTTATACTATGAATTTCAGAAGACCTACCCATTTATTACAAAGATTAATAAAAACATTTTCAGCCATTTCCTTAAAAGATCTCTAAAGACAGAAGCCTTTTGAACATCTGTGATTAATTTTTTCTTTTTATTTTGTAGCACTTGTACAACTCTGCAGCATTCAAGGCTCGGACAAAGGCTAGAAGTAAATGTCGTGATAAAAGAGCAGACGTGGGGGAATTTTTCTAGATCTCCTTTTCCATGGGGTTCAGTTTTGATAATTAAAATAGATTTGTAACCTTCAAATGAATTTTTTTAATTTCTGTAGTCAGTTTTAACTTGTATACAGGGATATTGTATAAATTCTGTAAATATAATGCATGTTGCTTAGTTGCATAGATGCTGTATATAGATTGATGTAAGTTTGAGAGCAAGGATAAATTATAACGTGCATTAGATGCAACTTGCTCCAAAGGTGAATATATTCTAAATGAACTGTCAAATGGGGTGGATAATTGTAGTCAAATGCTGTGTCAGATTGGTTTCCTTTTATAGAGAAAGGAAAATTTAATTAATTAATTGACCATGTGTTTTGGTAAGAATGTGCCGATATGAGGAAAAAAAAAACCAAAACAAAACAGAATTGCTCCAGTGAAGCTATTTTATTTAAACTCTTCAGTAGCAGATCAACAGAACTTTTCTACATATTGCCCTTCAGGATGAATCCGTACTATGAAGTTCAATTCCCTTCACTTAGAGGGAAGTAATGAATGACAAATACTTGCTTCAATGTAAAATAGACCCAAGATTCTCATGTTCTGAAATTGTATGTTTTACTTTTTGGAATAAAGAGTTGTCACTGCTTGCCTTCTGTGTAAAAATGATTACAACATGAATGAAAAGCTGGAACACGAGCGAAACCTGCAGATTGAAACAGATGGGTTTATTTGCCTATGCAGACATTTGTTTGAGTTGATCTCAGTGCTTTAGTAGATGCTACATGAAATTTTACCTTGTCATGTTTAGAAAGGTGTATTTTGTTTATGTAGGGTTTGCACAACAGCCTACTGTTGATTTGCCATTGGTTATGTAATGCTCAAATGTTTGCTAATTCTGGTACTGCAAAATACCTTGTCACTTATCTGACAGGAGCCATTCCAGCTGCCCTGTTGTCATGTTGGAAACTACCACCCAATACTCCCCTAGCCTCCCTTTCTGGCTCTAGAGGCCTGAAATGTGACAGTAATAGAACACTTAGGAGACTGTGTTTATGTAATAAAGACACTAAAAACTAGATAGCTTCAGGAAGATCTGTAAATAAAAGTGCTTGTTAGAATAAACATTCTTAAAACTGTAGGTCAAATTATCAGCAGTGGAAGCAAACGTTACACCCAAAAAAACCCCCACCACATACCCTGAAAACTCCTGTGTGGCTCTGATAAGGGAAAGCTTGGTTTGGTTTTTGGTCTGGCTTTTGGGGGTGTGTTTGGTTTTGGGTTTTTTGGTTTGCATTTTTTTTTTCTGGTTTCAGATTATAGCAGAACCCATTCTGGAAAATCCATTCATGAAATTAGTGGTACCTCCTAACTTTTTTTCCCCTTGAATGCATTATGTAAGAACTTGTTTGGATATGAACCTGATTACTTGTGTGAGAATGAGGTCTTCAGCTGAAATTTGTGCTGTTACTGGTGTGTGTGGTTAATGTTTGCCACACAAGGAGAGAAGAAACTGCTGATCCTGAATTAGATGAAGCTCTGCCTGTGTTTACCTGGCCTAAGGCTATGCCTTGTTTGAGGTAAATTGTTCCCACAAGCCTGCTGGTCTCTCCTGTGGCTTCTGGGTGGTCACCTTTCACATACTTTGCTAGCAGCACTTTGAACAGCTTTCTGGCCTGCTGGTATTTTTTGGCATGTGGCCAAGCACGTGGTTGCCCTTTTCCCCATTACACTGTAGCTGCCAACCACAGACCAGTACAGCTTCCAAGGTTGTTTGAGGGCAGGCAGGCTGTTTTTGCTGACCTGTAGAGTTCTGATGTGTTTGCAGATCTTTTCAAGCTTGGAACTGGAGTGGTCTGGGTGCTTGTCTTCCAGTTAAGCTTGGGTCAGGAAACTTTTGGGGATAGAGGTGAGATTTTTTTTTTTCGTCTTGCATATTGTTTGGAGGAACAATTTCAAGGAGACCCCTGAAGAATGGGAGCAAGCTTGTTATGTCTGCATTACTGGTCCTGCTACTGAGACTGGGCAGTGACAGCTTGTCAGCTTGGGATGGGAACTGCAAGTCAGAAGATGTATCATTGAATCACAGAATAGTTTGAGCTGGAAGGGACCTTAAAGATCATCTAGTTCCAACCCCCCCTGCCATGGTCAGGGACACCTTCCGCTAGACCAGGTTGCTCAAAGCCCCATCCAACCTTGCCTTCAATACACCAGTGTTGGGGCATCTACAACCTCCTTGGGCAACCTGTTCCAGTGACACCATCTTCACAGTGAAAAACTGCTTCCTGATTTCTGATCTAAATCTACCCTCTTTCAGTTTCAAGCCATTACCCTGAGTCCTGTCACTACAAGCCCTTGTAAAAAGTCCCTCCCCAGCCTTCTCACTGGCCTTCTTCAGGTACTGGGAAGTCATCTCTGTTGTTTCCTGAAAGAAAAACAATTTAAGTTTAAAGGGGTTCAACATTTTAGATGTATAGCATGGCTTCAGAAAGGGTTTGTTGTTTTGAGCTGTGGTCCCTTCACCTGAGCATCAGCTGCCTGTCGCCACAGTGTGCTGTCACATTACGTTCTGCAATGTCAGCAAGAAAAAAAAGGTGATCAAAAGAACTGTCTACAAAGGAACAATTACCAGTATTCCCAAACAATTCATATGATTTTTTTTAAAAAATAAGGATGCTGTACAAAATAGTACATCTCATAATACTGTCCCACTTGAATTTATAAGGTATGTTGTAGAAGGAGGAAAATGCCCTGTGTGTTTTTTTTCTAGCCTGTGCCTTTAAAGCATTCATGACTGCAATACTGTAGATAGGAAGCTTCTGCATAGCAAACTAGTTACTCATTGCTACCTTGTTGTAGATATGACTCTTCTGCATGGCAAATGAGTCTTTAAAAGACATAAACCAAAAGATTAGTGAAATACTGATCATCTGTAACAACCCTCATTCTCCATGATGGGATATCATGATGATTCCAATATAATAAAAAAGAGCTGGTTTGGTACTGATTTCTTTTTAGGCAGACCAATATTGGGAAGTCAGTATACTTAGCCAAGAAGAACTCTAAATATAGATTGAAAGGGACAGTCTGTTTCATAGCTGCTTTCATGAGTCCTGCTGGAGTTGACAGGTTCCTATGGGTCTAAAAGTAGAGAGAGGAACAGCAGAACACGTTTTCTTCAGGTGATTTTCACTGTCTGATTTCTTCCATGCTGGCACATTACCTGAACGTAGTTATGTTGTAAGTAATGTTTCATTCTCGTGGTTTTTACTTCCTTTTAGATTTGATTTCCCTTTTTCTGTGGAGGGTTTTCAGTGACTTCTCATTTTAAGTTCTAATTTTAGCACAACAGCCTAATAAGAAATAGAAGTTGCAGGGGGAAAAGTCTTTAAACAAGTCTTAGAGTGACTCCAAAATCCCTAATGTTTAGATTAGTTTGTTGGGAAAATAATAAATACTTTCGGCCAGTGACACTGATGTCTGTATCCTCTCTCCTTTGTTTGACACAAATGGAATAAAACAACTGTAATCGAGGCTTTGTTGAATTATTAATGGTTATCTTCACTGCATTTACATAAACAGTCAGGAAATTTGTTTTAAATAATTAGAATGCAGAAGCATATAATTCATAATATTAATGAATCAAAGGTACTCACATTTATTGCAGCTCAAGTTGTGAAGAAGACTTCCTTCAAGTTGCAGGGAGGTGCTAACAAAATACCCAAGAGAAACAACTCTTGGGAAGCTAAAAATAACCAAAAGCCTCAGTGCCTGAGGTGGTAACTTTTGGCCATGGATGTGCTTGTGGGGAGATCGAGACCTGTAACTAGTGGAGTCCCC